GTTAATTATTTAAACAGCCAATAATTTTAAACAAGTTCAAAGAAAGAAAACTTCTTAAACATTTACATCTAGTCAATAAGTAGGCAGTGTTTCCTCAGTACAGCTGCCGTCCCCATGAAACCTTTACCTTGAGAAGGCTGAGATCTTATCTCTTCTGGTGTTACCACGGGCTTGTAGAGCTTCTGCATATTCAAAAAAAAAGGGAAAAATTCTTAAATACCCTCTTGCTTTAACAGATACCTAATATACACACAGCAGTCAGAACAACGGAGACAGTAGCGGAATTATTTACATCAAGAATATATTAGAGGTTCAGTTACCGAAAACAGTACCCTGGTTAACAAAGTTACATTCCCTGTAAACATATCTCCAGACTCTGCTTTAGTTTGCAGAATTCTAATTATTAAAGCAGAACTGAAATCCAAGCATTTCAGAAGAAGCATTGCCACCTGCTGCATGACTGAGGAACGAGAGCTGCTCTGGCTTCTAAGGGGCCATTCACAAAAACAGCGTGCTTTCACAGAGGCACAAACTCCAACAAAGGGTACATTAAGACAAAAAGCTAAGAAAACTACTTAAATGACTTCATTCTAGCCCTGCAATTACTTATGCAAAAGTAAGAACACTGTGCTTCACAAACTGTGAGTCTTGTGACTTGACAGCAGTTAATTGAGACATGAAGTAAACTAATAATAAATGAACATTACCAATATTTAGCTATATTAAAGGTGGAATTAGAACTAACTAACAGGGAAGAAGGAAAAAATACCAAAGAGGTGGGAACACAAGTTATATCACCAGCAAGTTAGTATTCTCCAGTTCAGGAGCTGTCCCTCAACCTTCTTCAAGCAAAAACAACTCCTCCTTGTAGTTTTCCCAGAGAAATTTTTTCACAGTTCACACATCTTCTCAGCAGAAGAATAAACATTGCTTGCATTAGCCTCAAACATTAGAGAACATATTGACTGAAAACCCACAGGGTGATCTCTTGCTTTGGCAATTACACAGAGATCATCACCATAGATTAGTAGTTCTCTCCAGATAAACCATGTCTTCAGAGTTGCTCCTTATGCCTCAGAAAACACCCACCACAGGGTCAGCTAGGGTCAAGAAAGAACACAAAACATCCTCAACCAAAAGCAGAGAAATCCCTAGTACCTTCACAGCAGTAAATTGCCTTGCTAAATATCATTGTTCCGTAATAGCATGTTTTATTTGAGCTGACTTTGTTTGTTTAACACACTTGATATAATGACAAAACAGAGATTTTCTAACATATATTGCCTTTCATGATATCTCAGGTTTAAGACAAATATGTACCTATGCCCTTTTCCTTACTGTAAATCATCTCTGCCTGGCTAACAAGAAAGTTAATGTTTGTTGGTTTTAGTCCTCAGAAATGCAATGCAGGCTCTTAACTTTCGAAAAACATCCCTGTCTTCTTTAGTACAGAATAACTGAAGTTGCAAAGGGCCTCTAAACACCCTACAGAAAGTAGGGCCAACTAGTGCAGGTTGCTCAGAGCTTGAATCTCTCCGAGGATGAAGACTCCACAGTTTCACTGGGCAACTTGTGCCAGTATTTGCCTCTCGTCCTTTTTTTTTTTTTTGCCAAGGGAATCCTAATTTACCAGGAGGTAAGCAAATGGTAGGCCTAACGTAACTGCAGGGAAGAAATCTAGCAACCAAAGTCAGGACTGGGTTGTTTAATGTCAGTAATAACTTTACACTGAGTGTCAAAAACCTCACAGAAATTACTGCACTTATTCATTAACCCTCATTGCCTTTTTTTCCTTTCTTTCCTGAAAGTACTGAATGTAGTTACAATGTAGCAAAAAAAAACCCACTTAAGAAGTCACAGACATTCTTTTTAACAACCGCATACTGTGCATGATACTATTTATCTGTATGTAGTGTAACATTTGGCACTTCAAACAGCCTTTGGGCAAGGACTTCAGAAACATGTGACAATAGGTGCATACTGGCTCGTAAATCATGAGGCACCAGATTGAAACAATCTGCTTAAGCAACTCGCTGAACTGTGCCACAGACCCAATTCACTCATAGCTTTGTAGTAATCCTCATTTTGCTGAAGAACCAACTAATGAAAAAAACCCATTTAATTATATGACAAATAACCGAAAGCAACCATGGGAAGGAGCTTAAAGGTCAATATTAGATGATTTATTTCTTCAAGTTACACATGGTCAGCAGCTACTATACGCAAAGTTTTTCTGAAAATTTTAGGTTACTCACCAACATCTCTTGCTCAGCTTTCATGGTTTGGACAGCATGCACCAGTATCTTTTTAGGCCACTGTTTACGCTTTGTTGCTGTCTCTACTATTAGTTCATCAAACTGATCTTCGAGAATTTTAATGTTGGAACCTAAAAATGACAAACACACAAAGTTGTTGCAGGAATTCTCCTACAATTTTTTTTTGGAGACTAATTTGTAGGAAAAAAAATTATATCTGAAATAAAGAAAATCATGCATTATTATCAACAAAGAGATGCATATATGTCTTGAATCTCCTTGTTAAGGCAATATAGAAATTGGAGCATAACTTGATGCTGGCCAGTTATTTTGAAGTAAATGAGCTGCGGGCATGAAGGGGGAGAATCATCTGGGCAAAAATAAAAAATGTATTCCTCTATGAACTCTGAATCTATGAAGAAAATCTTAAAAAGAAATAGCTGTCTTTTGAGATCACATGCTTTTCAACTGAAGAAAAGCAGTGCAAGATGGAGCAAGAAAAATGCTTTATCTGTATGATCTACAAGTATTAAACAAACTCCAACTGTACAAGCAGTAATTTGAAGCCTGACTGATTTTATACCACACAGAGCACAAACATGCAGTTTAACATGACAAATTACAATGCCACCTTAATGAAACACACTTCCTGGAAATACTCTCCATCCTGACAACATCTACAATTTCTAGTCACAACGAATTTGCAAAATATATCCGTGCCTGCTCTAAACACCTGAGGACCAAGAGAAAACATGGTAGGAGCTACCTTTCAAAGCTCTTTTTTCCAATGTCAGGGTCAGACTAAACACCTAATACATATTTTCAGCTGTGAACTAGTGTTTTTATTACTGCTACTCTACTAAAGGAACTTAACTTCTCCAAAATTGCAAGTTAAACTTAACAATTTTAAAAGCTTAAGATACTATTTTAAAACTGGTCTCAAAATTTAGACAAGTAAACGTCTGCACTTTCCTGACATCACACATCATTGTTACAAACTACAAAAAAATAAGTTATAGAAGAAAGCAGTATGAACTCTTGGGTCATTCTGTGCAGAATCAGGTCATTGCAAACCTCTGAAAGGCAAAATCAAGGTTTTAAGAGTTTGTGGGTCTGTTTTGGTTGTTTGTTCAAGGATCACCATGAAATCATTTAAGTATAAATAGAAAAGACTTGAGCCACTGGCTAACGTAAACACAGAAGGCACAAAACGTCAGATCTCTTGGTGATTCAAAGCACATCAGAGATAGGCACACAAGTAAATTTTTGTCAAATTAAAAAGCACAGGTCCTTACACCTGTTTTATGCCAGCTGCAGGCAGATGACAGTACCTCGGTTTAGCATTTTGCATCATGAGACCAGTGCATTTTTGACCGTGTAGTCAAAGGAGTTGGAGTTCTATCATTCTAGAACGACAACTGCAAAAGCTTCATAGAATCAGAGAATGGGCTGGAAGGGACTTTTAACGGCAATCTAGTCCAAGCCCCTTGCAATGAGCAGGGATATCAACTAGATCAGGTTGCTCAGAGCCCAGGTTTGCTCAAAGCTTCCTCACTAAAAACCAGTTCAAGGAGCTCTTTCTCCATAGTTAGTTCACTATATCTGTATTTTTAGCTTTATGCAACTGTAAAAAGCATCAAGTTGCAGGTAAAGGAAATCTCGTACCAACACAGGTGAGCAAATGAACCGCACTGAAACTTTATTTGGACACCAGACTACCAAGAATCTCCACTAATATTATTTAAAAGACAATCATTACGATCACACTGTGTACATTACATATGTTTATATATTATTATACATCAATAATTTTCAACACTTAATTTGTATATTAAATAGCAGCAACAGACAATCTCTTAGGGTCACTTGATAGGAAGGTACCTTGGACAATGCCCCCAACACTCAGGGCTGGAAGGGCCCTCAGCAGGTGACTCAAACCTCCTGCGCACAGTAGGGTCAACACCCAGTTCAAACCAGGTTGCTCAGAACACTTTTGTCCAGTTGATTTTTGGAAGCCTTCTGTGCTAGAGACTACACAACCTCCCTGGGCAGCCTTTTCCAACGCCCAACTAACCCAGCACCGAATTTTTACTTCCGTACATTAAGGCAGAACCTCCCCTTTCAACCCGACCCTTTGCCTCTGGGCAAAACCAAACCGAACCAAAACAAACCCGCCCAGCAGGAAATCAATGGAAACCAGCACGTACCGCTCGGCGGGCTGGGGTCATCCGTGGCCTTCTCCCAGGGCTGCCCGTTAATGGTCACGTTCTCCCGCAGCGCTGTCTCGAAGTTCTGCAAGACACGGGAGAGGCTGGAATCCATCCCTCAATCCCTCCACCCCTCCCTCGGGAAGGGCCACCTCGGGGCGAACAGCCTCCCCCGCCCCGCTGGCCGAGGGCCGGCCCCGGGGCCGCTCTGTGCCGGCACCGGCCGAGCCCGCTCCCCGCTCACCCAGAGCGCGTCTCCCTCGGCGGCGGTCCCGCCGGGCTGTCCCTCCAGCACGGCCCGCACCAAGGGCGCGCACAGCTCCATCACGTCGCGCAGCCTGCGCTGCGAGCAGCACCGCACCCGCCGGTCCCGCCGCGCCGCCGCCGCCCCCTCTACATCCATACCCGGCCCCGGCCCCGGCCCCGGCCCCGGCCCCGGCCCCGGCCCCGGCCCCGGCCCCGGCCCCGGCCCAGACGGCGCCGCCGCCGCCATTTCCCGCCCGGGACGCGGGGAAAATGCCGGCCCGGAAGCGGAACCCGCGGCCGCCCCGGCGCTGCCTCCGGGGCGCGGCATGGCGGGGCCGGTGGACTGTCACTGCCACCTCGCCGCGCCCTGCTTCCACGCGGTGAGGCGCGGCGGCCAGGCGGGGCTGGGGGTGGCGGTGGGTGGCTGGGTGGATGTGCGGGTCGGGCGCTGAGGTGCTGTCTGTCTCCTGCAGGACGTGGCGACCGTGGTGCGGGCGGCGGAGCAGGTGAGGCGGCCGGCGGGGACCCCCTGCCCGCTCCCCCGTGGCCCCGCCGCCCGGGGCGTCTCAGCAGGCCGGGGGTCTCTGTGTGCCGTAGGCGGCCGTGTCGGCGCTGGTGGTGGTGTCGGAGCAGGCGGGCGAGTTCCGGAGCGTCGTGGAGCTGTCGGAGAGGTGCGAGGCCGGCTGGGGGGTCCCGGCGCGCACCCGTGTCCCAGGCGCGGTGTCCGCGCCTCGGCGGGAGGTGACGGGGGACGCACTACTCTCCTCCTCCTGCATCAGGCCAGCCCTTCTTGGCTTTAAACTTGGGTTCTCTGGGGTTTCTTGGGCTTAAACTTGGGTTCTCTGGGGTCTCTCACACTGCCGATCCCTGTTCCGTTTCTAGGTTCCCAGGATTTGTCTTGCCGTGCCTGGGAGTTCACCCCGTTCAAGAAGTTTCTCCAGAGGAGCAGCGCAGTGTTACTTTGAAGGTAAAACACAGGCTATAAAATACGGCTGGGACTTTTCAGGACAGACGACAGGATGCTCCAGTCTGCCTGATTTACCTTCGGTTCTGCCCAGTGATTTTTCTGCTCCCTGTGATGCAGGAGACCCAGTGGACCAAACCCCAGGTTTGTCCATGTTAGTCCTAAAGCAGAATTGTTCACTGGAGTCATCTGGCCCTATTACTGCAGTGAAACAGTTTAAAAAATCCCGAGTGAGTGCTTTGCTTACAGCAAACAGCATTTGCAGATGTCCCTTTGTTAACATGGGAACTGGAAGGCTTACTGTTTGTTACCTTAGCCTGAAAAACTCAGGGAGCTGTTTGGCTGTTTGCAGCCATTTAATGTTATCGGATTGTTTATGGGCCTTGTTTTAATTACCTCTTCTGCTACTGCGAAAAGATAGCTAGAAATTAGGAGTATTTCAAATAAGTGTTATATACATATATGACGAAAGGGTTATTAAGTAAAGAAGTCAAATCCTGAAGGTTTCTAAAATCTGACCACACAACTTGCAATAATAGCAAGTTCTAAAGTACAGAATTTAAGAACAATGAAGAACAGTTTAATCATCATGCTGAGTTCATAACCCTTCCCCCTTGTAAAGGCATCTTTAACTTGTTCCTGCAGGATCTGGATGCTGCGTTGCCGCTTATAGAACTCTACAAAGACAAATTGGTGGGGATCGGTGAAGTGAGTAGAATTCCACAACTTGTTTAAACCTCTTTAGCAGCAGCTGTCACCAGAATTACAAAAACTTAGTGAATGCTTGGTTTTGTGTATGCTAGTATAAGTATTGCTTTCAGTCTGAGCAAGCACTGAGTCTGATTTGTAATTCTCTTAATGTGGGTTCCTTCATAGATTTGCCTGATTCCCTCCTTTCCTTCCTTGTTATTATTAGAAAATAGATGGAATTTATGCTGGTGGAGTAGTAGGAAGATTGCATAATTATGTTGTATCATCTTACACCTGAAGGCAGAGCCTTCCTGCCTTCTTCCCTGACAAAGTCTAAGCTGTGATTTCAGTACACCTCACTGACTTGTACAGTTTGTTTTTTTTTTATCCCTCACCTGTTCGTATCCATGTATTGTCCCCTGTCTAACATTTGTTTATAAAGGAATTGAAGCTTGAAAGCTTTAGGGTAGGCTGCATTTGTTTGTTTGTTGGTAATGGAGGGACTTATGTCTGGTTCTGCAGTGGCTGCAGAAAAAGCAGTTATTGGCAGAGCTTTGTAGCTGAATTTGCCATGTTGTACTGTATATAAAAGACTTTGGTTGGTGTAACTGAATGGGGCTGCTTTGATAGACTTTAAATTTTGCCTGAACGTGTTTAGATCAAAACAGTATAGAAGTAATGGGTTATTTTTGCTAGAGTTTGGACTAAAGCTATGGGTTTGAGTCAGAAATTTTACTTATAGTGGAGATCCAGATTTGAGACTTATTCTGAAATAATATTCAATAGAATATAAACCCCCAGAAAACCAGTTGCAGATTAAAGTGTTAAATACCCTTGTTACTAACTATCTGCCCACAAATGCTTTCACAGTTGGAAGAGCTTATGGTTGGGAATGGATTCTTTTCTGAGTTAAGCTACAGTTGAGCTTGTTTTAATTTCAGTCTCTAGTATACGTACTTTGAAATGCTTTGCAATTTTGAAGCATTTTTTGCCTTTACATATGAAATAATGGTTTTGTTAAGTGTTAGTCTGTAAAATTTTTTCCCTTCTCTTCTTGTACTGTAGGTTGGACTAGATTTCACTCCCAGATTTGCCAGCACCGATGAACAGAAGGAAGGACAAAGACAGGTTTTAATCAAGCAGATTGAGTTGGCAAGAAGACTGGATTTGCCTTTGTAGGTTTTATTTATAATAGTAGGAGAATTTGCCAGATCTCAGTAACATGTGGAAATATTTCCCAAGATTTATAGTTACTAAGTACCCACAGAACTTTTCTTGGATGGATTAAACTGGTATTAGTGTCCAGTCAATCTCCAGTTTAAGATTTAATTATAGAATTTTCCCTGTGTTTACACTTCAATACTGTTGCCTTCTGTGTCCTGTCCTTGCTATGTTCTATATCTTCACTGAGTGCTATATCTTCACTAAGTGCTATATCTTCACTAGCTACAGTGATTCATACATATATCTCCGGATTTTTTCCTGATAAAAGGTGTAATACAGATTAATTACTTCCGTGCCAAGGTCCTGTTAGTTTGTTCATGTTTGCAAAAAAAAAAAGTATTTGGCTGAATTTCCTAATGCCAGGCCTCTCCTTGCTGTGCAGAAATGTTCACTCCCGCTCAGCTGGAAGACCAACCATTAATCTCTTGAAGGAACAAGGTATGCTTTTAATGCATTTTCTCTGTCACGGCTTTTGTCAACAGAATTTCTTCAGCTGTGCCGTGTTCCTCACTTCCGTTTGTGTGTGTGAAACCTGGGAGCAATAGTGCAGATATTCTGTATTCATTCTTTATGGGACCAAGGTCCCACTGGAAGCTGACATAGCAGCCCTGCTCTGTAACCGTGCTCATCATTTGTTTTGCTTCGTTTCTCCAAGGTGCTACAAAGGTGTTGCTCCATGCATTTGATGGGAAGCCCTCTGTAGCAATGGAAGGGGTGAAAGCTGGATACTTCTTCTCCATTCCTCCTTCCATTATAAGGAGTGAACAGGTAACATTTTGTCCTGATTGCAGCTGGGGTCTGCTCCTTCTCAGTGCCTGGGAATTGGAGGTAGTAGCTGACAGCTTATCGTGATGGCTGATGAGACCAGCAGTGCCTGCATACAGTTACTGTAACCTGACACTTCTCAGGAGAAGTTTCAGTTGCTATAGCATTGCACATTTTTACTTCGGCTGAATTTCTGTCTGGGACTTTTGCCTTAGCTAGGCTTCTGAGGGGAAATTTTGGCTAAAAGAACTCAGCTGTTCCTGAGAAACAAGGGGGTTTTTTCTTCTCATTTTAATGTGGTTTCTGATGAACTCTTCTTTGGCAGCTTCTGTCACTGTACTGTTTTAGAGTAGGGACATGACACATGGAAAACAACTAGTTTCTGTCTCAGAGCTGTGGCACTTTCTGTTCTAAATGAAATCCATTCACAACTGGCTAAGTTGCAGACTTATGAAGAATTCTGATTATCACAAGCAAAGAAGCAGCTAAATTGCTTAAAGATGGCATTGTTCAGATTCAGTGCTTTATAGGGTGAGACTGCTCTTTTAATTTCTGTTCTGGGCTGCTACAAACTTTGCTAACCTCTTATTTTGGGGTGGCAGTCTGTTTCCATCCTGCACCATCATCACTTTCTGTCATAAGCTCGGGAAATGTAGGAAAGGAAAAGGCTTCATTCAAGTGGAGGAGGTATGAGGGATGGATATAGATGGGGATGAGGTTGGGAACTTGGAGGAAGGAAAGCAAAGGTACACACATATATATACAGAAAATAGCAAAATTGCATTAGCAGCTCTAAATGCAGTGTGTTTACTGCAATATAACTGCATTATTATTTAACTGCATGATTTAATAAGTAACAATGGATTCAGTGTTGAGATAACAGTACTTCAGATATTTAGGAAACAGGAGAATCCTAATTTGAAGGGACTTCTTGAGCAGCTCTTGCTATTCTTGCTTCCATTCAGAAATTGTTGCTAAAATGCAGGCAGTGGTACCGAAGTCTGTTGATGTTGCTGTTAAATGCAGGAGATGTCCTCCTTTCATAATTTTTTCCCACAGGTTTAAGTACATAAAGCAATTAATAGCTGTCTTATTTTCTTCAAGAAGCAGAAGCTTGTGAAACAGCTACCTCTGGAAAATATGTGCTTGGAAACTGACTCTCCTGCTCTGGGGCCTGAAAAACAGGTAAATGATGAGGGGGGAAGGACTTCTGTGTATGTATATCCAAACCCACACCTCCTGGAGGTCAGTTACTAGTACAGGAGAGTGAAGTAGTGTAAGCATGGATACAAGAGGTGAAAGAGGTTACCAAGGGAATGTAATCAATAGATTCGTGTAATTTTTCTGGAACTCAGCCACAATGTGACTGAAGTTGTGTCAGGAAGTACTGACTCTGAAACACCTGTGGTCTGTAGGGATCTGTAACTTGGTTGGTTTGTTTCTTTGTTTTCAGGTGAGAAATGAACCCAAAAATATTTACATTGCTGCAGAATATGTTGCCAAAATTAAAGGAATTCCAGTTGAAGAAGTTATAAAAGTGACTACACAGAATGCACTAAAAGTATTCCCCAAACTTCAGAACTTTCTTCGGATATAGATTCAGAAACTGAAATATATGATATTGCAGAAAGTATTATTTATATTGTAATTAATAAAACCAACATGCATCTTGTCTTAAAGTGGAGTTTTGCTCTTGGAAAGTTCAAGAAGTGAGCAGTGTTATGTAGCTGTATAGGGTGAAAATAGGGAATTTCTCAAAGACCTTTGGTATGCACCATATTAATAACTTGAATGTGATAAAGACGTGCTGTTCATTTGCATCTCTCATGTCTCTGAACAAAGTACTTCGTCTGCTGTGGGTTGATTTTGCTACTTTGGCCAGTGTCCTAAAAGCTGAATCTTGTACTCCCTCACGGCACCTGTGTGCATGTGGGCCTGTGAAATATTGATCAGAATTTTGCTGACTATAAACTAGCAATTGAACAAGGTGAGTTTTGCATGACACCTAATTATTTAAGAGCCACTAAGCAAGTGGAGATTTTGTCTCTATGGGGAGTTTTACCTGCTCAGCCAAGAAAATACACAAGTACTGACTTAGTCCATAACCACCTCAGGTATAAAACCATGTGTCATAGCAGCTGATGGTGAAAGAGTTTGGCTTTAAGATCTGGGCACGTTTCTTTAATGTCTCACGTGCCTATGTGATTTTTTTTTAAATTGGAATCCTTCCGTTCTTCCCAGTTTAAGCTTCATACTGGTTGCCCCTTTGCAAAATGGTTTTATAATGCTCTGTTCTGAAATCATCTTGATGTCTGCCTTCTGGGGTGGAAGACTGCAAGGCAAGAATTTGGGTTTTTTTCTTGTTTTGAGGAGCATGTGGTTAGAGAAGGGATCAGCTCTCAAATACGGGAAAAAATAAAAGAAGGAGAAAAAGCTTCTGATGTAAGTGATGCATATTGAAGTTTTGTTTTCCTCTACATTGTTTTCCTCAGTTTCTTAAAATCACATGATCTGGAGGTTTTTTTACCATCTTTATCAGAACAGCTGTGCTGTTCTACTTTTTGACCAGAGTTAGCGTACTGAGTTTAAACATATGTTCCTAAACAGCTCTTGACCTGCAGCAAACGACCAAACTTGCATAATTTGTCTTTATTACAACATATATTCAGAGCAGCAAACACCTGAATCTTTGCTAAGAGTTTGACCTGGAGGAGTTAGAGCCATTTGTTATCCTGGATCTACAGGCACCGTTTCCACTAAATTGGGCGAAGGACTAAGTTTGCCTCCAGATGGTGCTAGGGAACAGGTGTGCGATAGTCTTAAGAATATTAATGCAATTGACTTGATGATTAATAATCATGTCATTGGAGATACTAAACATTTGATACCAGGCAGCCTTACCCATGCTTCCTGCTGCCTGTGTGATGGGAAGGCTCCCAGTATTGCTTGGGAATGCAGTTATGTATGGAGGTGCTCCAGGTAAGAAGTCAGGCAGCATCCAAATGTTTGTGGAGTTTTGACCTAGTTATTTTTCTCTAGGTAGTTCTTAGCATTGCATGAAAACACTAGTTTTGCAAAAAGGCAATATTAAGTATTTAGACTGCTCAAAATCCCTGTCTCTGCAGGGAGCATTGCTCTGGTTCAGGCTTAGCCTTGCAGACCAGTGATACCTGGCTGAGCATTTGAATCCTTTTGCTGCTGCAGTGCTGCAAAAGCCTGTAGACATGCTCACATCCTGCAGCTCCCATCTGGGATGGCACTGCGGAGGGTGGCCAGCCCCACATGGGCTGTGGGGGCTCTGTGGGACAGCCTGTGCCCCTGGTCCTTGCATCAGCAGAGTCTAGCGGTGTTCGTGGTCATCTGGGAGTGTGGTTGGGGCTTGGGAAGGAGACACAGAGTTGCTTCCCCCGAGCCAGAGAAAGCTGGCATTGCAGCAGCCTTGGGCAGGGCGAGCCTGGCAGAGAGCCCACAGCAGAACAGACTGACTTTGTCCCCTCCTTAGACCTGCGGCGCCTCAGCTAAGTCATGGAGTAGATGGCCTGGTGCTCCAGAAAAGGAAAATGCAGTGTCATTCCCACTCTGCCGTGGCATCCTTGACACCAAACAAGGGTCAGAAGCACCACCCTTTCCCTGGTGCCATTTTGCTGTATGAGCTGTGCCCAAGTCCCCTGCAGTCAATGCTGGGGGAGCGGGCAGCAGACACTGAACATAAAGTTGTTACTTTGCACAGGAAGCCCAACTTTTTAAGGTGCTCACTCAGGACTGATGGCACTAATGTGTGTGAGAGAGGAAGTGTGGTTTCTAAGCTGGAAAACATCACTGATCCCTCAGCAGTCATCCTGTGACTATACCTTGAAAGGGGAATTTAGCAAAAAGCTTGCATTTCTGCCTGCAGTCCTGAGCTAATACCTAGTCCCGAGGGGCTTGGGAAGTCAGAATGGCTTTTGGGGAGGAGCTGTGTGGCTGTACACCACAAAGCCCTCCATCCCCACAAAGGTTGGCCTTAATATCAGTGTATGCTGAACCCTGTTGCAGCTTCTCAGATTGTATTAATAAACCATGTCCCCTCCTACATAGCATAAGACACTGAGGTGGTCAAGGATGTACTAGAGGAAGGACCCAGCACAAATTTAGCTGGATGGCAGGTTAAGCTTTCAGGAAACCTGAGGAGAAAGGAAAGTATGGAATTAGTGGGGACCCAAATTTTGTATTCAGTCATGCCATTAATTTTGGGGGACATAAATGGTGACCTCTGACTGAGAGAGCTGGAATGGCACAGATGTTCTGCAGCTGTATGGAAAGTGATAGGTCCCAAGCTCCATCTGATACCTATAGCCATCTGGTACAAACAGCAGATCTGGTTGCACTTTGCGTGACTCCTCATGTCTCTCTACCTTGCAGGATGCATGTGGTGTGATAGAAAAATCAAGAAAGGTTTGTGATTTCTTTGACATAAACAATGCCTTCAGAGTGCCTTGCGTGTTAGTCAGTACTTGTTATTGATGCAGCTCTGGCTGTTACAGCTTCTGCCAGAAAAAAAAAAAAGCCCCGCATCTCTTTCCAGGCTTAAAATAATGCACTGTGTGCCCCAGGACACCCACACGTGCAAGGGCTTACAGTGAGTGTGTAGCTCAACACCAAGGCAAAGAAATGAGGGGGAGACAGGGTGACAGTAATAACGTGAAGGTGCTTTCCATGGGCTGAGATACACAGCCTGGAGATATGGAGAGCTTCTAAAGTGGATTTTATCTGCTGATAGAGACAAAATATTGGATCAGTGTATATTGTCAATGGTAGAGGTACTTTGCTCAGTGAGCTCCATGGATCAGCAGCAGGGGTTGGAAGGACACTGAAATTGTGACTCCTTGGCAGGCTGGTGGCATTGCCCTTTTGCCACCCATGCCAAACTGCTTGCAGGGCTCCTGGGGAACAACACTAGAGTGATTTTTCCTGAAGGCCAAGTGACTTGTAAGAATGGAGTGGGCATAGAAATAAAAGGTTGCATGAGTCACTTGAACTCAGACCCTGAATATCCTCTGAGTTCAGGCCTGGCAGCTAAGAGTTTGTCTAGGGACTCTATCTGTGCTCACTTAAATAGTCTTTGGAGGGCTGCAGCTGGATTGTCCTCCCAGGGTCTTTCTTCTGAAACTTGTTTTCAGTCATGGAGTTACAGGACCTGAATCTGCTGAATTTTGGGACAAAGCATACTGAGTTTTTCCAGTCTTCAACATGGGAACAAGTGAGGAGATGGTTATGAGGCCAAGTGGATGAAATGCTGTTTAATGTTGCTGTTTATTATTATAAGAGTTTAAACAAATTGACTAAAGACTTTTACTGGAGGTGCTTCCAACAGACTCCTATGCAATGCATAGATAGGCTCTGTAGAAGCAAAAGCAAATAAATAATTGCCTGGAAATGCAACTTTTATCACTTATGAAGTTATGCTTGTGTTTGTTTTTTTCATTAATGCAGGCTGGGAGTCGATCCTCTGTTCCCATTATGGAGCAGGAAAATGAATTTGAGAAACTCAGTGGCTTAGCATAAAGCTTAATTGTTTTTCTCTTTGCTTTCTATATGCAGTACAAAGATAAAGCTGAGATCAAAAGAAGTATACAAGTTGCCATAGCACCTAGTTGTATCAACATTTTCCTTTTCAGCAGGTGGTTATCCATCTGTTCATTTCCCCTGCTGGGCCTGGCATTTCTGTCAGTGTGAATGGCTCAGGACATGGACATCACCCTCACTGCACTGTATGGCGTCCCCACCATTCAGTGAGTGTGAAGTGCCTCTTCCAGGGGCTGGTGAATTTTTATGCTGCTTTGAGCTACTGTGAATGACAAAACAATGACAAACCATAGTGAGGATCATGGCCCTAACGAACCTGTGCTTGGAGCAGGAGCTGATACCCATCTCCCCAAATGCTTGATGCTGTTCTCAGAGAGATGCTGCCCATGGGCTGCTTAATGCAAACGCAGGAGACCAATGCCACTACCCCACCCAGATCCGCTGGTGAAAATGGTGGTGTGGTTCATCTGCAAAAGCAGAAACAATGAGGCACTGGGAAAAGGAATCTGCAGGAGCAAGGACCCCTCTTTGCCCTAGAAAACAGCATAATGAGCACTGCTGATGTTCATCTAGGCTGCCTCAGAGAGCCTCTGGCACATGGAGCACTTGTCATGGAATGAGTGCAGAGGTGGCATCAAGGAACTTAAGGCAAAGCTGCAAATAGGTGTAGAGCAGTGGCACATCAGCAGAACAGGAGGATCTAGGATGTTGTCTGAGGAGCAAACAAGTTCTGCACTGATGCTTGGGGACATATCTGATGTCCTTCCAAGGTGACAGAGTCAAAATATATGGATTTTGTCTGCAATGTCTGGGTGAGGCAATATGTCTAGTTACACTGCCTTCAAGGGCAGGTGAGGCAGCTGCATGATGTCCATGGCTGGTGGCTGCATACAGATGAGCCCAGCCTGCCACAGCAGAGCACCAGTGTTGTGTTGTGGCTGAGCAAACCTTCAGCTTCTTGGCACGGGAGTGAGTACAGCTGCCTGAAAGACCATGGAGCAGCACTGACATGTGGGGAAGCAGGGCCACGTCCCCCTGTTTTGGAAATGCGGGGTGTGAGACATGGAAAAGTGACAGTATTGGCAGTGTGATTGAACCTCTGATGCCCCAGAGGTATCACCTGGCAGGCAGGCTGCGTCAGCGTGCGGACTGTGCCTTGGGCTTGATGCTAAAGCCTGACGGCAGAGCGGGGAGAGCTGTTTGAGGTCCCTCTTGACAGAGCCCATAGTGCTGAACTGCAGCAGAGCCCTGCCCT